CTGTGATAGTGCTGCGATCTATTGAATTTTCCTACAAGTATTTTTCGGTGCATTTAGCCTTAAGTCACTGGTCCCGTTTCAATTACATTAAAAATAAGCCAAGCTATATTCATTTTCAGTAAATCTGAACCTCTATTATAGTGAACGTAGAAGTACAACGTGCTGGACATTAATTCCCTCCTCAAAAAGAATATATTACCTCCGTACAACAAATTCCAACACTAGGCACCTTGAAAAAAATATTGGCCCAAGGTCGTAATTGAAGACTCCCCTGAGGTTATTGTGTTCGTAGCGGACCCGGAATGGGGACCTTACTAATGACAACTTTATACCACTCACTTTCACTGTGGACAAAAAAGGTCGTGATCTGCGTGGGCTAAACTTGGCGGCGGCGACGCGTGATTGCTTGCTTCAGTTTCAAGCTTGGTGTTGGTTGATATTCTGCGGGGTAAAGTGCGATGAGTTCTACGTAAGCGACAGGAAGCACGCGACTGCCGATTGCGCTATCCCGCTACCGAAAGCATCTTGTACGTTTTTAGGCGAGTAAAGGGGCCTTCGGAGAGTGGGACGGTGTTTCAAGAGAGCAAGATGCATTGAAAGGTGCGAGGGCTCCATTCGATACTTATACAGAGCAATGAAGAATCAAGTGTGAAGAGAGCATAGCATCTGGAGAAAGGTCCAGAGAAATTACTTACGAAAAATGTACGAAGCAAACAATTGAATATAATGATTTTTTTAAAGGACAAATAACCATATTGAAATTTTCAGGTCATGTTATTAATGTATTTTGATGTATCTCTATGTTAATAAAATCAATCGTTATGGAGTAATTCTATTTAATTTTGACATCATCGGATATAGAAAACCTCTGATACAGTGAACCAAAAATGTTAGTGCCCTGATGTTCACTATAACCGGCGTCGACTGTATATATGTAATTAGTATACATACATTTTTACGTATGTAATTACTCTCATGAGTCATAATCGCATCACATTTTTTCGCATTAACTACAAAGCAGAGTCGTAATCCGCGGGTATACTGCAGGCCTGGTGGTTAACTCCGAGTTGCAATCTAGGCGCCAAAATGGTAAAATATACAAGTAGTTGATTACAAATCGTTGGCTGTAAGCGGGCGTTGAGGTGTGTGCAGCCTCATGATTTTAGTGAAGATCTTCAAGACCTGGGGATGGGTCAAGGTCGCCGGAAGAAAGACGGGAATGACGCGCACGTTGCGAGTTTGAAACTCCGCGGGCCGACGACACGATTAAATCATACGAAAGGTTTTAGGGTCAGCTTTTATTTATTGTCACAGAAAATGAGTACTTTTCAATAGTTTTACAAGCAATGTACATTACACAAATTTTTAGAAGTAATGTTTTGTCACTTCTGTGAAGTGGTGAACGCCACTTGTACCGTTAAATTGTGGGTGAGTTCTTGGATGCTTTCAAGTAGTTTACACAGAATTCTGTGCTAGCTGGGGCAACCTCCCCCAGGTCTCGAAATTACCTAACTTCATTGAGGCCCCAGAATTAATTTTCATTCAAAACAAATATGTATTTACTTGTAATACAAATTAACCGCTAGTTTTTTGGTTATTTATGTTGCTTGGAGAAATGAATTTTATTCACTTATTGGACGAGGGAAATTTTTGTTTGAAAGGAGCCCCCTGTATCTTCTGCCCCAGGCCCCTTGTTTTCAGTGTGTACAGAACGTGTGGCTTTATGAAGCAACACAACAACAAACAGCAAAACAAAACAAACAAAAAATAAAATTGAGCAAAATATTTAATATTTAACTTAAATTTATTATTTTCTACATATAATGCGTTTTTATTGAGTTAGTATTTGATCGTTTAGTTGTAAATAGGAACTAATGGATTTTTAAGTAAATTTTTAAAAACTCGATAAATTCAAAACTTTCTAATATAAATTGATAATTTATACAAATGAAATCAAAGAAATGTCGGAGGTAGTTCAACAAAGAACATGGTATACAGCAGTCGTTTTTAATTTCCTCCTCCCCTCCTTTCGTACAATTCCTTTCGACAAAAATATTTTACCCCTCAAGTGCACATATACACAAACGCTGAAGAGGCGAGGCTGGCTGGCATTGGAATAGTTACGCAAGAGCGTGTCGCTGTTCCCAGGGAGTTTCGCCTCGCCCCCTCTGACCCCAAGCCCAACTGCGGCTTCCTGCATTTTCAGTGAGAACGCATGATCCTCCCTCCGCAAAAATTTTTTACAGAGGACCATCATTTATCTTATAAAAAATGTAAAAATGTTGGGAAGTAAATCTTGCATTTCGTACTCATACCGCTTCCTTCTGGATGGCCGTTTCTTGATTTTGACACGAAATAGGGTATACTCTTCACTATAGTCCGAACAATATTTCTGTCTACTTGGCAGCTAGCTATTGGCAGGGGAGAGGGGGTCTCGTTATCCAATCCAATCACCTGAATTTCTGATGATGTCACTGCAGAGTTGTCGATGCTTATTAAGAAAGAATTACATCTTACAGCGCGTAGTAACTGAAAAATGAAGAGCACCATTCAGTGGCGTAACTAGCTCTTCCGGACCCTGGTTCAAAAATAAATTGCCCCCCCCCCTCCTCAAAAAATGTGCTCAGCTAAAAAAAGCACTCTGAAAACTAATTGAGCTAAAAGACGCTCTTACAGCACTTACATAATTTTTTTAACAAGATATTACCCCCAATTGTAGAAACTACCTTATATACTCCCCTCTCGAAATGTTTAAATTCGTTAAATCCTTGTGATTATCGACCTATCAATATATTACCAACATTATTAAAAGTGCTAGAAAAAATGTAGGTCAACAAATAGACAAGTAACTCGCCATAAATTATGTTCTCAATAATTTTCAATCTGGATTTAGGGAAGGCAGAAATACGCAAACGACTTTGCTATCAGTTACCGAAGACATTCGTCAATCTCTGGATCAAGGCAATATAACAATACTAACGCTTTTAGATTTTAGCAAGGCTTTCGATTCAGTAAACATGACGTGCTTATGGCAAAATTTAAATGCCGTTTTTTCTGATTCTACCTTATTGTGGATTTCAAGTTATTTTAATAATAGACAACAGGTCATAGTTGTAGAAAATACTTCCTTTTCACCTAAACTAGTTTTCCGTGGAGTGCCACAGGGCTCCGTACTAGGTCCACTTTTCTTCCTGATCTATGTAAATGATATCCCGTCTGTGCTATGAATGTGCAATCATTTGTATGCAGACGACTTACAGATCTAAGTTGGCGGGAAACTTTCGTAAGTGGCTCATTTAGTTTGTAAACATATCACTATTTGGCCTCTTTACTTGAATAGTTAGTGAGAAACAGACTTTAGCTAAACCCATTAAAATCCCACTCAATTATAATTGGCTCCTGTCGGTCCCATAAAGCACTTCAAAATCTCAATATTCCTCCTATCATAATGGACAACACTACTGTTCCTCTCTGCTCTCAAGTTAAAAATCGCAGTCTGACCGTCGATGAAATCCTTCAATTGGGAACCTCGGGACACTTGTCGCAAAGTGTATGCCACAATGAACTCATTGAAATGTGCTTCCAAATGACTTCCACCCAAAACCAAAGGCCTATCAGTAAAATTCCTCTTGCTCCCTCTGATTGGTGACGGTGAAATTGTGTAAGGTAACGTAAAGAAATCAACCGCTGGTTCTCTTCCAAGAGTTTAAAATGCATATGTTAGGTTTACATATATATATATATATATAT